GCCGAAAAGGGTACAGGCAATTTTTCGCACGCCGCGATGACCGCATTTGACGTCCGTGGTACCTGGAGAAGTTGGACTACAATCTAGATATCGTAACAGCTCACTTTCTGAATCTGTATTTTAAACTCCCAACTCAATCGCAAATGCCATGGTGATCTGCAGGCACCTTCGCGCATATCCTACCGATTATTACGGTTGTTTAACTGGCGTATGCCTTCTTCCGACAGAAGTATTTCTCTCCGCAGCCGTCGATTGCCCAGCCTTTGAAAATCACGTGTTTGGCATGCCTCGCTTTCATTGTCGGACTGTAAACAGCGCAACGCCTACTACATTCGCTGGCTCGCCAGATGTGTCACGGACTCCAACCATTGCATTCATCACTGTCGCTTGCATACCAACTTAGGTATACTGCACACGGTCTCTCACATTGCAATCTGCCCTGCAGATGGTATGGTTCGCGCCACCTGTGCTGTATTCGCCTCACTCGACGCTTTGTCTTGGCAGTTCAGTTCAACCCCACATTATTGTGCAACCCACCTGGCAGAGCCTGGAGAACAGAGAGCTATCGAAGTCATTGAACACTGAGTACCTAGCTAGGTACCTAAGTCAGAGAAAAGCAAAGTCCAAGAGCTTGATATCGACACGGTTCGTCACATGTAGACTTGTACGGGGCCGATCACAAATATGCTAGCAGACTATTGAATGTTCACGAGTTTCCGCGTCTCATGCCCTTCTCATGGATAGCTGCTCATGGAAATCCTACCTTACCTTAACTTGACGTGTACTGTGTAAAGGCCAGCTTTGGGACCTTGGCCCCCACTGCGGGAGCCAGCCAGCCAGCCAACCTCCCCCAGGCTCCAGCCACACGGATCGCTACAGGCTTCAGGGCAGAGCTGTGTCAGATGGAGCTTGCCGCGGCTGGGGTGCTTCGAACTTCAGGCTGTCCTTGGTGTCACTCAAGTCCCAACACTCATGATACAGAACACAAGCACTCAACTTTGAGCACAACACCATAATCGACAGCTGAGAATGATGCCCGCTATACACCGGTGTTAATCTTGTTTTCTTTGGTCTAACAAGTATTCCCCGAATAAATATGCGCATCCGATTGCCTTTTGCAGGTCAGTTCTAGAGAATCCGGCCGCACTCGTTTGCTACAGCCTAGGTAGCTATAGAGCCTTGCGTGTGCGGCGGGCCATGTTGGCCGCACGTCTTCTTCTAGAGCTACTTCAGAGCACAACACAGTCTCCAGCTGACATGAGGATATTCTAGGCGTCTTCTTCCTCCTCTGCCTTCTAGCCGGTTACGCCGGCCTCTCGTCTCTCCAACTCGACCTTTACATAAACGACAAAGTCCTACATCTACTCACGTTCTTCCTTCTCACGGTAGTCTTCTACTGGATCCTCGATACCAATCGGCGCCGCACCCTGAACTTGACCGTCATAGTCTGCACCCTTGCTCTTGGTATCGGTTCCGAGTTTCTGCAGGGCTTCCTTCCCAATGGCCGCGAGTTCGATTTGTATGACATTGTAGCCAACGTGGTAGGCAGCCTCGGCGGCCTGGGAATATGTTCATGGTATCACAAGCGCATGCTCGAGAGGAAGAGGCAACAGAAGACATACAATGCAGTGCCTGGCGAAGACGAAGAGGACTTGGAACTAGGAGAAAGCTCCGGTCCCCAGGAAGAGGGCATCATGTCAGCCGCCGGGAATGAGAGGGCTGTCACTCTGGAACACGAGGTCGATAACTGGGACGAGAATGCCGTGGATGCCTGGGATGAAGATGGTGGCGATGGTGACATTGGGACAGCTCCTAATAAGGGGAAGGAGTCCGAACACAACGGCGCAGACATCGACACGAAGAAACGAGTGGACTGAAAAGTTATGGGCTCTGGCGGCTTGGATCGTCAATGAACGCCTCAAAGATATCTTTTCCTTTGGCGTACAGGCAGGGCATGCGAATTCTTAGGTTGCGGCATCACGGCTGCCACAAAATGTACGAGTTTAGACGATCATTACGAAATATAGCCTAATGCAGCTTTCCCGGGGAATAAAGAGTGAACTCACGGACTGGACATGAGCAGCTTACAGGCTCCTCCAAGCCAAGTAGAGCTTGCTGGATGGACAAGGTTGGGCATGATCTTGTTCTGGAACATACGCCATGTCAAAGTAGAGGCACGCCTGCTGCATGTGCCGTCGAACCCACTGGACAAGAATGGTATATACGTCAATTAAAAACAGCAGTCTTTGAGACGACGCGCAAAGAGAGATGCCCGGCCTAGTGTCGAGTCATTTTCTAGAATCTGTGGGGCGTGGTATTTCGCCGTCTTAGGATCATCAGTCCACACATCCCAAGATTCGTGATGAGCCGTTTACACGGTACACATCATCTCGGGTCTAGGGAGTAAGCATTGCCCACAAATCCCGTCAAATATTTTATGAATACTAAGACAGACTCACCGCGAGACACGTCACATTAGCCTTCGGCAAAGGCTCGGGATATCTAAAGTGACGATATCGGAGTTGAGGGAGACGAAAGACAGTTTTACCAAGTGGCTTTAACATGGTAACCAACTTGCTGATTTCACACTACAACTCCATGCCTTTCTTCTACTATTCTAGGATACAAACTTTGATGTATTGAGCTCTGACATACCATCTCGTAATATACATCCTATCACCATGTCGCCGCAACAACTCGCGGTCAACGGACAAAACGGGAGTTTCAAATCAGAAACGACATTGAACCGTGCAGCTGAAGTCGAAGATGCATGGCTCCTTTACACCCCTATCCCTTCCCCTAACAGCCACTAACACTGAACCCAGCTCATCGACGCTGTCAAATCGCTCATCATCCCTTACATCGAAGCAGCAGACGAAGCAGCATCTACGCGAGCAAGCGGCGCCCTCCCGTCGCAAAATGCTTCTAACCAAGCTTCCCGCAACGTGCTTGTAGAGACACGCAACCCCGAAGAGTTAATAGATCTTTTGAGATTTACGCCAACAGAAAGCGCGGGTGGTCGAAGCCAGCTTCTGGAGACTATTCAAGGGGTTTTAAGATACAGCGTCAATACTTGGGACCAGGGGTTTCTAGATAAACTATACTCAAGTACTAATGCTGTAGGCCATCCTAGCTAATCGTCCCGGCGACAAAGAAAATACTACTAAGCAACTGTCTCAGGTCGGCGTCATATCAGAGCTTCTACTCTCAGTACTGAATACCAACGTAAGCGTTGATTCGACCCTGGTATTCCTGAGACTTCAACTCATAAACTGCGCAGGTCCACGTCTATCAAGTCTCTCCAGCTCTCACCATAATAGAAAAGCGCACCGCCCAAACCTTGGCGTCCCTCTTCGGCTTCACCGGCTCCCGATCAGGTGGTGTAACCTGTCAGGGCGGTAGCTCATCCAACCTCTCATCCCTCGTCATAGCCCGGAACACTCTCTTCCCGTCGACCAAAACATCCGGCAATGGAACCCACCACTTCGTCCTCTTCACTAGCGTGCACGGCCACTACTCTGTCGAGAAGGCTGCTATAACGTGCGGGATGGGCGCTTCTTCCGTGGTCTCGGTACCTGTTGACAATGCCGGATGCATGATCCCCTCGGCCCTCCACGACCTCATCGTCCAAGCTAAAGCAGAGGGTAAAACGCCACTCTATGTGAACGCCACAGCCGGGACCACCGTCCTCGGCTCCTACGACCCTTTCCGCGCCGTCAGCGCCGTATGCAAAGAGTTCAACATCTGGCTACACATCGATGGCTCGTGGGGCGGGTCGGTGATCTTCTCCTCGGCGCAGAAGCACAAGCTAGCCGGCTCCGAACTCGCTGATAGCATAACAGTCAACCCGCACAAGATGATGAACGTGCCCCTGACTTGCTCTTTCCTGCTGACGAACGATCTGGGCGTGTTCCACAAGGCGAACACCCTGCCAGCTGGATACCTTTTTCATGCGGTTGAAGAGGACGAGGAGGTTTGGGACCTGGCCGACCTGACGCTGCAGTGTGGTCGCAGGGGCGATGCGCTCAAGTTGGCCCTAGGCTGGATATACTACGGGACCGAAGGGTTTGAGAGGCAAATCGATCATGCGTTTCACATGGCTTCGCATCTTGCTTCTCTTATTGCAGACCACCCGCATTTCGAGTTGGTCTCGAGTAATCCGCCGCCTTGCCTGCAGGTCTGTTTTTACTATGCGCCGCGCGGGGAGGTCGCAGAGAACAAGAAAGAGAGCACGAGACGGACAAGCGAGATGGTGGCAAAGTTGATACAGCGTGGGTTCATGGTAGACTATGCGCCCGGAGATCGGGGGAGCTTCTTCAGGGTCGTGGTCAATTGCCAAACGTTGAAGGGAACTGTGGATGGACTGGTGAAGGCTCTAGAGGAAGTCGGGCGCGAGGTTGTCAAATCATAAACACGACCTAGGTCTCTATGTGATTTGACTGTAGTTGAATAGGGGCTATAGTTCGAGGATTGTGTTTAGGGCTAGAAGTTGACGCCAGCAACAGCGCACTCGCTACATGTGGCATGGACGTGTAGGAAAGTGACATCAATGATGATGACACATGCCTTGAGAATCAAAGAAAACACCCGGACACGTGTATTGTTGCTCGATTTGGTACGACACCCAGCGATTCCCTACTCCTGGAACTTGGTCTACACCCGGATTGCAGCCACGTTAACGCCGCCATGATTCATAATTCTAGCATTATAGAGAATGCTAATGACACCGCATCATTAGGTATCGACAAGAATCGTCCAGGTTTATGACATGCAAGGAAATATGGCAGAAGCGTGTGGATAGCAAGGCACCGGGACTCGGCCGAAGTGGGGTTCCGCATTTCTTTGTCCCAAAAACTCTTCCAAGAGCCGGATCTCTTTCTACCCGGTCACCCTCCCTCTGATAACCACCACACCAACCTCGTCAGGCAGGAGGAAAGAAAGCGAGAAAAAAAATTTGAACAAAAAGAGGAACTCTAGTGACTAGAGTGCATCGGGAATTGAGCCCAATGCGGGGGTCGAACCCGCAGCCTTGAGATTACACAGTACATCGTAAGAGTCTCACGCTCTACCGATTGAGCTAACCGGGCCGGCTTTGATGACAGGACATTTCGTTACTGCACATAATGGAGGGCGGGCCGAGGGGACGACATCCAGGACAAGCAGGATTTTCATCCCGCAGGACGCCCTGGTAGCCTGGTAGGTCACGAACTATCCTTACTCATTCTTTGACTCATCCGATCTGGCTGGGTCCAGTACCAGATCCATGCCCTAGCGCTGGCTGCGGAAACCCACCCAGGGCAACGCGTATAACACCCACACCCTGATCCGGGCGCAGTATAGCACATAAGAGTTCTTCTTTCGTTATTGCCTGCTCTTATTGATACAGACCGGTTCACTCTGATCACGTAGCTCGAAGATTGAGGCGTGTAGCCGGAATTATACCCTCTATCCAGTCGGACATGTATTAGTTTGCAGATATCGTCAATAGAGAATTTTTCTTTAACCCTTAACCTCCCAGTCTTCGCTTACTTTCTGAATCTTGTCTTTTTTGGTTTTCCGTCATCGCCATACTGTGTGTCTTCCAGCCAAAATACAGGATTATTTACTATTTCAACGTTGTCAGGCACCATGTTACTCTCTCAGCTATTCCAGCACTAATATGAGCATTACCACCGATCATCAGGACGCAGCGGATGTCTCAGTGTGGGACAGAGGCTTATCCATTACCGTCCTTGGACAGTGACCAGCTGGCGAGGACTCCGAGCAAATCCGTTTCTGTGAGGCTACTGGGTTTTGACGAGACGTATTACGGGATCTGCTCCGCGAGTGACTTTGGTTCATCTTGCTTTCGAAAGTCTTCCTCCTAGATCTTAAATGGCGTAAGGGAAAGATAGGGATAACACGAAGTGTGTAGTACCAGGCGGTAAAACTAGACTTCCTCTCAGGATCTGTTGAGAGAGTATGATTATGGCTTGGATGAAGGAAACGGTAGTTAAGATACTAAGAATACATGAGCCATATACGCTTGGTTTAGTCACCTTGTCCACGTGCGCTCCTCGAAGATCTTGGCTCACGGTTGATAGGTGGTGGATCACTTGGATACTGAAAGTCCTCGTCCACAACAGCCCCCGTCGTCGATTGAATGCCATCTTTCCTGTGCAAAAAGCAACTGGCACGACGGTATTGCTCCTAGCATGGTAGTTTTACTCCGCGTCTGATTCCGGCAGGCTACCTCGAGTGCTAGTCTATCGTAATGAATGGCAGTCTGTGCCCGTTAAAGAGAAGCAGTCGTAGTGACTATGCGCTTTAATCAGGCCCCAACTGCTGAACTGAAGTTGTGAATTTAACTTGGATTGATGGGACTGCGAGATCTTCAGTATCTACTTCCCCAACTTCCGCAGGCTAACTACCCAGCCCCCCGAATAACGGATCCATGCACGGAGAATTTATATCTCCTGCGTTTTAGAAGCCCTCCACAGCCTCCATGGAAGTTTCCAGCTACTGCGCACTGCGAACGAGTTGAAGTCCGCACCCTCCAGCCTGTCAAGGTAATCGCTCGCTGGAATGCTCTCCAACAGAACTCCGAATCCACGTTTCAGATCCCGATTTGTGCCTTCTCCTTCCAAGTTCGTGTCTGGGTAGTCATGCTCGGCCTCGCCCTGGTGCTCATACTCGTGGCTGGGGTTCTCCCCAGCTTGGATGTTCTTCAGCATCTCCCTAGCAGTAATGAGATGATCATTCGCTCGGGTAGCAATTTTGAAGACAACGTCTTTAAACCCCTCTGCTTCAGGACCTTGCCGATAGACATCCTCCTCCCTCAAGCCTACTTCGGCCATAACATCCAGCGGCAGGAGCAAAACGGGACTCCGCCCACCACCGACATCCAACCCCTGTGGGGACTTGACCGTTGGGGCTGGAGCGGCCAGCACTGGTATGCCCCTCAAGACAGCTACGATGCCACAAGCCTTGCCAATGTGACTCGCCAGATGATCCACATGCATTGACCGAATGGGCAGCGCAGCCAAGGCTGAGTACATGAGCGTTGAGTATGTATTCTCCGCATACTCCTCCAATGCCGCCAAGCTAGTAAAAGGCCGATTGTCCATGTATTTCTCGCGCGTATTGATGAGCCGCAACAGCCAGAACTTGATGGAGGTTGGACTGCTTTCAGGATTGTTCTCCGACAACTCCGACAAGACCTTGTGGAACAGGATCATGATAGGTTCCTTCGGTGGCTTGCCCGCGAACGTGTTATTGACGGCATCGCGCCAGAACTGCATGCGCATCTGGCCTATCGTAGGGTTTGACACGAGTTCCGGCAGTCGCACCAACTCGAGGTTGAAAGCTCGTAGAGCATCATAGGCATCCTGTCGGGATTTGGGGATAAAGTTTCGGATGAGAAACGAGTCGTAATCCGATTTCCTATTGAGAAGGTTTCAGAGCTGCGTCAATCTGATGAAGCATATTGTATTATACCTCAATTGGTCAAGACAATAGCGCCTTGCTCCAGCAACATCTGATTCTGTGATGAATCCTCTCCTGAAGCACTGCGCAAGAGGCGTCTTCGGCCATTGGAGGCCCCGACGTGCAACACTAGCACGATACATCTACAACAAAGGGCTATTTCGATGAAGCCATGGTACTTTGAGGCTTGCGACCATCAGAGGTCGCTATTAAAACTCATTGTCTTATTCGTGTAGTTTGATTATGTACTAGGTACGCATTGAAGAGTGCCATGATATCATCCCGAGCTCTTGCCACCACGCGTCAAGCAAATATTTCCGCCCCACCTGGGCAATCAATGGGTGAACGAGGTCACATGATGCTCGCGCCACGCTCGGCGCGTCTTGGTTCGTTTGTGCGCGTTGGACCCTGCAACAGCTTTACTGCCTACAGCTGTGAAATAAACAGGCACCCTATGCCTTTCAGGTCAATCCACTCTCTTTTCCTCCCCAAAAGATGAATTGGCCAGATACAGAAGGGCCTCCCGCCAAGAAGCGGAGATTCTTCTCAGACACTGAAGAAGAGGAAAGCACCATTCCCTCTCCCAGCGCCCAAGTGCGATCCCCGCTGCAGCCCGTCGACGATGGCTCGAACCGTGGAAACGGCATCAACTCTACCGATAGCCTACCGAAGCCTGAAAACGCTACGAAACCCCCGGGGTTCGACCAGGGGACTTTCGAAGCCTTCGTCGGTGATAAGGTCAGCAGCGATGTACTCGACATTATTCGTGGGAGCTGCGGCGACAACCTCGAGAGAGCGGTCAATATGTACTTTGACGGCACTTGGAAGAAGCTGAAGAGGGCGTCATTTCCGTTAACCCCAGCACAATCTACTCTTCGTCGCTCCAATAGTTCTTTCAAGACCGCTGCCGCTAAGGTTGAAAAGCCAAGCTCACCATCGCCGGTTCCCTTAGTACGGTCGATGCCCGAATCTCGATATATCGGCGCATTTGGCGTGGAAGGCTGGGCTACGAGAAGCGGTGCGAATCTACTTAAGCATGGAGACGTGGTCAAGATCGAACGTCAGAAGATTCAACCACATCAGAACTCCAAGGGCAAGATAAGCTTTTCTGCATCTAGACGAGTTGATGTTATAGTACGTTTTACAGATGCGAAGGGGTCGGAAATTGGGCGACTAGCAAAGGGAAATGCGGACTGGGTCTCGTCGTTGATGGATCAGGACGTTTGCGGGTTCGAAGGCATCTGCGTTTATGCCCCAGAGAGGTTACGAACAAATGATACTGTATTCCTGCAGCTCAGGTGCTATATTCTCAAAGCTGTCTTCCAGAAAGGCCTTGTCAAACCTGCAGATAACCGCAGTATTGGTGTCTTCGAGGTTCAGGAAACTTCCGAAGAACGGGAATTAAGGTTACGACAAGTGGCTCTAGTGAGACTATTCCAGGAAGTCAGCCTCATGCCCACGAGGGCCGCAGCGAGCAGTGACCGACAGCGGCTGCTCGATGCTGCTGATGTTGCCGAAAAGAAAGAAAAGGAGACATCCAAGTCCTCGACCAATCGCGACCCCGGATCGTCGCCACCTTCTGACGATGCCGAAGAGGGCCAGGAGCTTGAGCAGGATCAATTGGATTCTCTGTATAAGAAAGCTCAATCCTTTGATTTCAACACGCCAGAGGCGGAACCCGCTGATACGTTTGCCATGAACCTACGTCCATATCAAAAGCAATCTCTGCATTGGATGTTGTCCAAGGAGAAGGATCAGAAGAACGAGGCCAGAGACGCTTCCATGCATCCACTATGGGAGGAATACACTTGGCCAACGAAAGACGTGGATGACAAGAATGTGCCTCAAGTCGAGGGCCAACAAAGCTTTTACGTCAACCCATACTCCGGCGAGATGTCCTTGGAATTCCCAGTGCAGGAGCAACATTGTCTCGGTGGCATCCTTGCCGATGAAATGGGTCTTGGCAAGACAATCCAGATGCTCAGCTTGATCCACACGCATAAATCAGACGCGATTCCTACAGTTCAATCTACTGTTGGCTCTGTCAACGACCTGCCAAGATTACCAGCAAATCCTGGCAATGTACTTCCAGCGCCAAAAACGACGTTGGTCATAGCCCCAATGTCTCTTTTATCTCAATGGCAGAGCGAAGCGGAGAACGCCTCCAAGGAGGGAACACTGAAGTCAATGGTGTATTACGGAAGCGAAAAGGTCGGCAATCTTCAAGCTATGTGCTGCGGGGGGAATATTGCGTCTGCTCCAGATGTCATAATCACCAGTTATGGAGTTGTGCTCTCGGAGTTTACCCAATATTCCAAGAGTGGGAACCGAGACACTCACCAAGGCCTGTTCTCGTTAGACTTTTTCCGTATCATCATCGACGAAGGGCATACAATCAAGAATAGGTCATCAAAGACGGCGAAGGCCTGCTATGAGCTATCTGCAGAACACCGCTGGGTCCTTACCGGCACACCCATCGTGAACCGTCTAGAAGATCTGTTCAGTTTGGTCAGATTCCTACGGGTTGAGCCATGGAACAACTTCTCCTTCTGGCGAACTTTTATTACTGTGCCATTTGAGTCGAAGGACTTCATGCGTGCCTTGGATGTTGTCCAGACTGTCC